GGAAGGGAAAACCTTTCATACCAGGTTTAATCCACAATTTTCTTCTTAATGTGACATTTTAGAGCTTTAAGTTTTGCCATGTGTGAAGGGACTTTCAGTTTTTAATTTTCTGTAGAGTTCGGTGTTTTGCTATTTTACTTTTTACAAAATAAATCATTATTTATTCTTTAACATGTCTCATATATTGTCCTACTCACTTGTGTTATTTCAACGTTTTCACACTTCATTATGTTAGGTAACAAACTTAAACGATGTCCACAGACCTTTATAGTTTTGTATACATGTAGTTAGTAGACAGCATTAAAACAATATTTGATATATGTAAGCTCTAATATAGTGTTAGGTCTATACTAAAAGTTTGTGATTTGCTTAAAGTCGATGTTTCTCTGCGTCTCATAACGTTAAGTGTCTTCATTAGATATGGTATTTACTGGTTTATCCAACCATGCATATGCGCAGTTGATGGTGTATATTTATCCTGTGTTTATTCGCAATTATAATTCTGCTGAATCCGTGAAATGTAGCTTCAAGGATACAAATCACAAACAATAACATTGTACCATTAAGGGGAACTAGTTTACTATCATGAGTACGTGTAAACTGTTAACCAAGTTAGTAGTTTAGACTAACACAGTATTCATCCATACCAACGCAAAATAAATGTTGTTGACCATAATGTAAGATATAAAACTGATACTCCATTTGTACCAAAAACGGTGTCAAGGAGATTTGTATGAGATTACGTGTGATGTCAACAACTGCTGAACCAGAACAAGTGCCAAATAACAAATTAAGTTTACAGTCCATGCCAAGCTAAAAGTTTCATAGCTACATTTCAGTAGGACTTTTTTCAGAGTAATGTCTAATCTTATGCAATGTGAAATGAAGAACCAAATATTTATCATACAATCCAGTTAGTTTATGAATTAAAACTTCTTCAAGTCCAGAAAATTGAGAACGAAAATATGTAAAAAAAAAAAAAAACAGTCAGACACAATGACAATACCCCGACCAATTAACTGGTGTCGTAACGAGAAAGGACGAAAAAAGTGATAGCTTGCCGTTCAAGTTGACAACATGGTCTCGGTCTAAACCCAGTAAAATTACAGGGGATCCAAAGCTAATATTACAAAAAAAAACACAAATTAATTCAATGCATAGAAATAATCAAGTACTCAGTTTGTCTGGTTGAGGTTCTTGCTTCACATTAACGGCCAAAGACTAAAGGATTTTTGAGCACTGTTATTGGATCTCGAGCTCCACTGAAAATGCTTAGCATTGTATTGATGAGGCTCCAGGCGACATGTGTATATAGAGATCCCGGGACGGTGCAAAGATTGTACATATATATATATACGTAGGTTCTCTGTCTCATAGTAATTCTGAAGCCCTTGTTGCTACAGGAACATACAAATAGACTTTCATGTATCATTAACAATGAATAAAATGCCAGTTTAATAAATAACATTACCAATGCACCTGACCTCACCCTTTGTTCCATGTATGCAAGTTGTTCCTATTACATTTACTCGAACCATTACATTTACTCGAACCTATTCTTCATCTTCTTTTTCGTGACAATTATCTAGTATTAATCCTTTTGAACACTAAGAATTTCTATCCAATGGCATCAATATCCTTAGGCTAAGCCGTATTTGGAATTTATTTATGTTCTACTTCTTCAATGCTCTTCAACTTTGTTTTTCATTTGACCTTCCAACTGTTTTGATTGGTTGATTGCTTGGTGTTTAACGCCACTTTCAACACTAATGTGCTATTTAGTGGCGGTCAGTTTTAATTGGTTGAGGAAGCCGCAGTGCTCTGAGAGATTTATCGACCTTCGGTAGGAAAACCGACAATCCCAGTCAACTACGATTGGAGTCGAGTGCACCTGCCCCGTGCGGGACTCGAACTCACAACATCAGTGTTAACTGGCTAGTGTTACAGTAGTTCGACTACTTAGACCACTCGGCCACCGAGGCCCCACCAACTGTTTTGATTTGAGTGCTACTGATGATGTGTTTATAAGCCTGAATCATTGATTGATAAGTTTACAACTACTATTTTCCTCCGACAAAAACAAGCCTGTCATGTTATTGTTAGTTTGTAAAAAAAATCAATTAAATTACCCTTTGCGTAAATGATTAATAAAAATAATATATTTTGAACATGCATGAACAGTAAAAAAACATAGTCTTTTCTTTGTTTTATTGTAGGAGACAATACTTTTTCACAATTTCACTGCATTGACTTAAAAAAGTAAATCGAAACATTAAGAACGATGTGAGAATGTTGTATTAATCAATCGACTGTTTATAATGTATATTTGTAAGTGAACTTAATGTCTTTCATTCTTTCATTGTAAATTCTGTCAAATTCGTCATTTTCTGTGACAGTAAAATGGTTCTTCCAGTCTCCAACTTCACCTGCAATAAAAAAAAAAAATAGCAACGTACCAATATATATCGACCAGATATCTATTGCTCGATAATTATTTAGCAACGCGACTAAACTAGCGTGTTAACACTGAGTTTGTGATATCGAACCCAGCATGTGGCAGGTGCGCTCGACTCCAATCTAAATTACTCACGTGGCAAGGTATGTTTGACTCTAATCTATATTGACCACGTGGCAAGGTACGTTTGACTCTAATCTAAATTAACCACGTGGCAAGGTGCGTTTGACTCTAATCTAAATTGACCACGTGGCAAGGTATGTTTGACTCTAATCTAAATTGACCACGTGACAAGGTGCGTTTGACTCTAATCTAAATTGACCACGTGGCAAGGTACGTTTGACTCTAATCTAAATTAACCAAGTGGCAAGGTGCGTTTGACTCTAATCTAAATTGACCACGTGGCAAGGTACGTTTGACTCTAATCTAAATTGACCACGTGGCAAGGTGCGTTTGACTCTAATCTAAACTGGCCATGTGGCAAGGTGCGTTTGACTCCAATCTTAATTGACTAGGTTTGCCAGTTTTCCTGCCGAAGGTCGGTTGTTCGTTCAGAGTACTCCGTATTCCTCCGCCAATAAAAACTGACAGCCACGATATAACCAAGGGTGATGAAAGTGGCGTTAAAGATCATAAACTATTTATTGGATCGGGATATAATGGTTTTAATTATTATTACACTGTTCAAACGCGAGTTAAGAGAACAGTGTATAGCATAGTTTCTGTAAAAAACTGTAAACGAAACGTGTACTGTGTGCATTAATTAAAATGATAGGTGATCAACGATTAAATTGTTAGATACACCAATGCAATTGAAAGAAATGTGATTTAAAGAAACCCAAGTTTTATTTAAAACAACGAAAATACTGTATGTAAAAGGTTATATCATATAATTCAACAAATTTGGCTTTACGGAGGACTCAGACCGGCATATTCTAAGTGAATAAAAATTGGTTATTTCATCTGTTAATAACAAATGGAAAAATTAAGGGAGCACGCAAAAAACGGAAGTCGGAAAACATACGACCATGACAAACGAAAAAAGACGAACAAGCATCAGGCTATAAAAAACACGAACAATGCATGATCATGATCGAGGGACATAAACGATAAAAAAAATTACCCTTTTCAATTGAATATATGAGAGAACATAATGGTTTTGTCCGCTATGCATTATGTATAATTACAATATATCATGCAGTTTGTTCCTATTTGTTTTTTATTTTACTTGCTCTTATTCAGAGCTGACAAATCAAAGCATGTTTTAAGGGCACAATCCTAGATTATAAGTGCATGTATCAGAGTATATTTGACAAAAAAGGAAGATATGTGGTATACTTTCAGATTACAGGCGAGAGGATGGTTTTCTTTACATAACAATGTCTTGAAACGGAATTTGGCAGAAGATGCCAAAGGGACAATAAAACTCCTTTTGTCAAAGACAAACCGACAAAAACATGGCCAAAATTGAAATACGGCTAAAAGACAAAAGCAGACTACAAAACTCTACACAGGAAGATTAGAAATGAGCAACATAAGCCCAATTAAAAAACACAAGCGTTTTATTCAACTTTTATTACAATAACTACTTAACACGTAAATAGGAGATAACTAGTTGTGTCTATGATAACATTTGTACTTTCACAGTAGCCACTACAAGTATTAATTGCTGCTGTGATATTTATATTTGATGATTTATATGATTGGTTTTACAGAAGCTGTTGGCCCTTTCTAATATACCCATGTTCACATTAGTTCATCTATGGTAAGTGTTGATCAATCCTATAATGAGTTGTCTGTTTAAAGTTCTAAGAATCCTGGTTGTTCTGACATTTGTTATATTTGTATTATGTTGTCCTTTAGACTGGTTCCCTTTCCTTTATCTTTTTGGCTCAGACAAAAGGGGTTACTAAGATACCCTTCTGCTGCAAGGGAGAGCAACAGCCTATTTGTCCTTCTTTGAATTATAATTTTTTTTCGCTGGTGTACGTCATCATACATAAAAAGTATAACAAGAACCACCAAACAATACTGAATAGCACAACAGACTACAACGACCATGAACACCCGACTCCTTCAAATTATAATCAGACTTACAAACACAATCAAACACAAACGAAGAGCATATTTATAACATCCATTTATTTTTTCAGTCTGGGACAATTTATTTCAAATAAGTTTCAGTGACATAAAGTTAACTGAGTGGCTCTCGGCTAATATTTTACAATATCAACTTACAGAACACACGAAAATCTATGCATATTGCAAAATAGGTTATTTGAACATACAAGTTTAGACTAGAATGTTAAGCAAATTCCAAAAGAGGTAGGCCTAGAATACCGTGATTTTAGATAATTATGTCCCTTTTCAAAGGTGTCCTCCTTAAGAAACATAGATTATTTCACTTCTATGTTACACGAGTGCGTAGGAAGCATTAATGGAACCAAACTATTAAAAAGCGAATCACTGAGTTTAAGATTTATATCCCTTTATCCGACCCATTCAAACAATCTGTACATTTTGTATTTACTATCAAATACTTTACCTTTTCTATACATAAATGAAAATGCTTGCTTCGGAACTCCTTCAAGAGCAGCTACTTTGGTGTTATCAGCTTTCTTTAGATTATCAAAGCAACATTTATCCACAACTTGATGTATAAAGTCGTCAGCTCTGTTAATACCTAAATACTCTACGATTTTCTTCACTTCATCAACTGGGTTCTTAATAAAAAAAAAAAAACACATGCTATATACACATACTTGTACACATCATAGGCAAGTCATACACATACATGTACACACCATACGCAAGTAGTGATCGAAAGTCGATATTTGGGAAAATTATTTATTTCGAATTGAATTCATCACCTTTGCAAACTTTTCAAATGTTATGCATGTCTTCTAAATGATACAGCAGGGTGAATCTCTTTTCCATTTTTAGTTGTTTTGTGTTTTGGATATTTAACTTCATCAGCTTTACCTGAACAATATGCATGGCAGGCATGTTCGGTCAGATAATCTTTATGTTTTAATGATTGATTCGCAAGATTACAAAACGGTCAAGAGGGCTTTCGGTAGTGGTTCATCAATTTTTATTTTTTTTCCGATAGACGACGTTGACGGAACTTCTTTTTGTAACCAACGTAAACAAAATGGCGGCGATAATAACACAAAACAGATCGACGCTAAACAAATATTTAAATCATCGTTAAATTTAATAATCAGAGGCAAATTTAGGGGGGCAAAGGGCCCCCTCCCCTTTTTTGTGGGAAACATTTGGTTGATCATAAAGGGAATCACTGAAGCATGACTGGAGCGCGCCTCCTCTGAGGCAGTCAGTGGGCCCCTACTTATGAAAATTTCTGGATCCGCCACTGACAATAAACACAAAACATTCATTTGAATGATAATGATATTTTTGTAGTTTATTTTTCCCTACAAATGTATTGTTATAGATTCAAATTAATCCTATAGTGTAAAATGGTATTCTTCAGATAACTTTCAGCGATACCACAACTCACGCTCAGCCAACTAACAGAAGGGTACAATTCATTACCAAAGGAATTCCAACTACTTGTTGAGTATTGTATTTTTACATCAACTAATTAACCTATAAAAAAGGTGTATTCAAAATGCCTTACAGATTTCATATCTTCGTAGTACACGTTGTGTATTGGTAAATCGGTTTGGTCATATAACATTTCTTGTAGTTTCTTGGTATAATAAAACCAGTTGTGGTTTGTGTCTGTTTCTAAAAAAAAAATAAGATTAATTAACTACATTTATTTGAAAGAAAAGTATGATTATTGCATTGAATGTCAACAGATACCAAGGGCCAATCATAAATAAAAAGTAAAAAAAAGACGGAGACAGGAAATTATAACGTAGGCAATAGTCCACAAAACACTACATGGAAAAATCTAAATTCAGCAGCGCTTGTCCCGACATCAACATAAAGTTATGCTTAGGTGCACCCAAAGTGGTAGAGCAGTTCCGACTCCAATAATGACACCCGTCGTTGTACCTCATTAGAAACTGTTTTGTAATAATCAGAAATAAGATATAATCAGTATGTAGATTCGTAAATGTCTAATCAAATCCAAAAAAACATTTATAAATTGCACTGAATGATGCCTTACAATACTTATCTAAAGTTTGTATGCTTAAAAGGCGAGGCCTAGTGACAGAGTAGTCTTGAGTAGAGTTTATTTACAGTATCACTAGTATGTCAACACTAAGGTTGCAAGTTCGAACCCCTCACATTCCAGGAGCGTTCGACTCCGGCCGGCGATCCTACCTTAATTGACTAAGATTTCAAGTGTTCCTGTCGAAGGTCGTCGGTTCTCTATAAGAAATTGTGGCTTCCTCCGCACAAAAAAGAGAAGAGGGCTGAAAATAGCGTTAAACACCAATATTCAATCAATTAATACATGATCAAATATGCTCTCAAACACTGACGCGGTAACACGATTTGTCAATTCGTTACACATATTTTTCAAGCAATAAAGATGTCTCGATATTTCCTTATTAGTTAGACATATTGTCAGATCCCAGCACCCTTGTTCATATTGTGATAAAACTTTCTTTTTTTTCAGAAGATCAACTGAAGATTTTTGTTCATTATAAATCTAGGATCTCATAAATCAAGGCAATTCCAAAGGAAGAAATCAATCATTAAATGCAGGACTTCGGGAATGTTCGGATAGCTGACGAAAGTTCTACATTTAGGATGTTTGCTGACTGCCATTTTAAAATAAAAAAACAATGTCATAACGCTAAAGGCAACAATATAATACCCAAGACTAGTACAATCATTTCTAATATACACATCAATACATATAAGAACTAAGGGAATCGCTTGAACTTTAAACGTCTTCTAAAATATTATGAAAGCATCAACCACCATGCAAATCCAAACTCAGTCAAAATGTAATGATTTGAAAAAAGGACACAATTGGACAACAAAAGATGGTTCACATTGTTAATGATAAAATTCTAACCTAGCTTCAACCATGATGACAGGAATTCACTAAATGTAGTTTCAGCATCAAACGACCCAAAAGCCTTCATGTGGTAAAACAGAGACACAACTGTATCTTTTGGGTTTCTCTGAACCACAATAACTTTACACTTCTTTTCAATAGCTTGCTTAGGAATATGATGTAAAAGGAGATGCGAATTGAAGACACGAGGTCTCTGCATGTCTTTGAATTCGTCAGGGGAATGAAACTCTAGCTGTCTTCTTGCTTTTGACATTTTCTCGTATTCTGTTGAACCTTTCATTAGCATGTTAACGATCTCCCATGTCCAATGAGTTCCTGTCAAGAGTAATAATACAATGCGAAAATGTCTATATAAATATCTACAAAAAATAAATTTTATGTTTCAATCACTGTTAACACACAAATATAAATTTCGCCTGTGTCATAGAAAAATGTGATCATAAACTTTAACAATTGCTGAAGCCAACAACAACGACAAACTAAACAGCACGCCTTAATCCCGCATGCGCAACTATTTTCACGAGACATACATCTAATATGTGTTTGTTTTTGTCCTTCGACGACACATTTACATGTATTTTGGTATTGGTAAGAATCAGCAAAATATAGATAAACAAATTGGGATTGGAATCTGTCTTTTGCTGAAGTCTGTAGAACTTCCTCAGACCGTTTTTCTATATTTCTATAAGTTATGTGTATCTGTAGGACGATGCGTTATCTATGGAATAGAATTATAACGGAAACAAGGAATGTGTCAAAGAGACAACAACCCGACCAGGAGTCGAAATCAGCTGAAGGCCATCAATGGGTCTTCAACGCAGTAAAAAATTCCAGCACACGAAAGCAAGCTTAAGCTGGACTCTAAACAATAATGTATACTAGTTCAACGAAATGGACGCCACACTCAACTTCGAAACATACAATTTAACCAAAATTAGATAAACATAGAAGACTAACAAAGGCTATCATTTCCTGCAATTTGTAGTTTATACAGTTCAGTTTGAATTTTACGTTACAAAAAGAACGCAATATATATTACATTCCAATTAAGTAATTTTTAATTATAAATTACCTGTTTTAGCATGTGCAATTATAAATACATCGTCCTCATAAACCGGCATCTTCTGTATAAGTGGCAAGACCTCCCGGAGGTCGGGTAATAAACTGCTTTCCTCTGATCCTGGTGCTAAATGTTGAATAGCATCTCCTACTTGAAAGGTTTTTACCGTATTTCTTGGTGTCATGGCATACTCAATCAGTGTGTCTTTCTCTGTTATTGGTCCTGAATAATAACGTAATAATTGTCTTTTATTCAAATTTATCTTTATATAATTTTGATTTACAATATCTAATATATATAACGAAGTGAAAGGAGTGACTCAAATAATAGCCATTCTTGTTGACCTTGGACTTAAGAAATCGTGTAATACGGATTCCGTGGGAACACGACGTGCGTGTAATAACTCATTCGGCAAACCCCGGCAAAAGTGTTCCAATGTATTATAGACATTCAATAATTACAAATGTTTGAGAGCACACAAACGAGTAAAAACTACTTAACACGGAACAGCAAAAGATCTATCTTTTACATCACAGTTTGAGTTGTTGAAAAGGGGAATTACAATCAAACTGTGAAAATAAGAACAGCGAACATGAGAACGCAAGACTAATAAGACTAGAATCGGGAGTTTAGGAATTTTCCTTTAAATCTATCTGACGTAATAGACTTACTGGTAATGAATAAAATTATACTATTGTTGTTCAATAACTGCGTCTGGTTATTTTGAAGATAATATCAATTCGCAAGTGTATATTTTTGAAGAAAATACTTAGCCTTTCTTTTGCGTTTTTGTATAATTTGTTATGGGCATCGCTAACATGTTTAACCCCGCCACATTCTGTATGTATGTGCCTGTTACAAGTCAGGAGCATGTAACTCAGTGGTTGTCGTTTGTTGTTGTGTTATATATTTGTTTTTCGTTCATTTTTTGCACATAAATTAGGCCGTTAGTTTTCTCGTTTGAATTGTTTTACATTTGTCATTTCTGGCCTTTTATAGCTGTGTAATATATGCGGTATGGGATTTGCTCACTGTTGAAGGCCGTACGGTGACCTATAGTTGTTCATTTCTGTGTCATTTGGTCTCTTGTGAAAAGTAGTCTCATTGGCAATCATATCACATCTTCTTATTATATATATAGCATAATATCATGTTGTCAAGCTATTTTCATGCCCCTTTTTGCATGAACCCGTGGTGAAGTGTTTTCTCTTGTACTATTGCTTTTGTTTGTTTTTATGCGTGTATCGTAAGTCCATAGATCGAAGTTAGAGTAAAGGTTGAGATAAATAGAAAAGTGGTTAACCCCGTCACATATCCATGTGCATGTCTCAAGTCAGTTACCTAGTCCGACTGACGGTTTTCGTGTGTTATCTTTTTTGTGGTACTTAGAACATTTGCTGAACTGAACCTGCATTAGAGCTAAATTTCCATCATCTAGGATGAGAACATAAGGGTTCTAATTCTGTAATTTTAAGATCTGGTTTCGACTAACATCGAACTATATTTACGTACCTATTTCATATCGTCCTACTGGTTGATCGGCCATGTTTCTCTATAACGACCTACATTTACGTACTTTTTTATATCATCCTACTGGTGGAGCGGCCATGTTTGTCTATAACGACCTACATTTACGTACCTATTTTATATCGACCTACTGGTGGCGCGGCCATGTTTCCTTACAACGACCTACATTTACGTCCCTATTTTATATCGACCTACTGATGAAGAGGCCATGTTTCTCTATAACGACTAACATTTACATACCTATTTTATATCGTCCTACTGGTGGAAAGGCCATGTTTGTCTATAAAGACTAACATTTACGTACCTATTTTATTCCGACCGACTGGTGGAGCGGTCATGTTTCTCTATAACAACTAGGGATGTCAACTCGGTGAAGATTTACTAATCGAGTACTCGTTGGATTTACCGAGCGATACTCGAGTACTCGCTCGTAAAAACATATACAAAATGGAAACACAACATTAAACCCAATTTACGGATTGTGGGGAGTTGTCTTATGGACGTAAAACCCTCAACATTAATACCTTGGACTAGATAATAGTCCCAGGAATTTAATACCATAATTAATAGCTCATTTACTACATGTACTAATTATGTAAACAGGCAATAATCTAATCAATTAATTAATAAATATCTATAGAAAATTGATTACTAAATCAACAGTATTTGGGAATCGTAAAGAAACACATTAATTTTATGATCAACAAAGGGGTGATGATTAGGACTTTAATTATTCTCTGAGGGTCGACACAGGGTGCAACGAATTTGTTCTTATTTAGAAATATTATCTTGTCAACTTTTTATTGGACAATTCAATTTATCAAAATTTTTTACGTAACTAACAGTTCTGCTGACGAAAATATTTGCTCTGGCGGTACAGAGGTCACCGTTGTAGAATGACTAGGACACACTACAAACCAGTAAAAGTCTGAAATGGCCTATATTTGTACTCGACTGTACTGATTTTTACTCGACCAGTCTGAATTGGTCTGAAATTTACTTGATAATACTCGACTGTAGTCTGAACCATACTTAACAGTCTGAACTTGTACTCGACCTTTACTCGACCAGTACTTAACCATTTTATTTTCGTCTGAACCATGCTCGACCTAGTCTGAACCATGCTCGACCTAGTCTGAACCATACTCGACCTAGTCTGAACCATACTCGACCTAGTCTGAACCATACTCGACTAAGTCTTAACCAACCTAGACCTAATTTTTGTATCTATCTATTGTATTTCATCAATTTAGGAACTGTTTTTAACAGCTATTTCCCCTGGCTAGAAATTTGAACAACAATTTGAAATTTAAAATGTATTCAATATGGCATTGAAACCAAAATTTCACAATAAACATAATATAAATTCAACACCATATTTATCAACACTTACATATATATATCACCTTTAAAATAAAAATAAAACAAGCTGATCAAATAATCTCAAAACTGAATTGTGACTAATATTTTCAATGTATTCAATTTTTTTTTAATGTTTCAGACATATTTTATGGTTACTGGACAATTTTCACCATTTACCTAAGCCTTGTATAGATTTATGGTGTCAGTTGAGTTTAGTTAATAATGCAGTGAACATTTTTTTTAATTAAAATATATTTAAAATAGTATATAAAGCAACTTAATAAATTTAAAAAATCACACCTTTGTTTTGTAAAACCAAGAATTTTATATAATCATGATAATAGAACTTCCATAGTAATCCTTGATAACCATTTAAAAAAGGAAATGTGTTCCAAAATTGCATAAAAAATTTATTTCAATTAAATTTAAATAACTTTTGTCAAAATTAAAGACATGGCATACAAGAAGCACTTTAATAAGGTTTAATTACCTCAGTACATGTGTGTTTTACAGGTAAAAAGAAAGCCCTTTTTTCTTAAACTCGTGTATTACTTATCTAGTGAATTCAAAAGGCCTTGCGATTTAAGTTTTACAGGATGTTGCAATTTTTAATGAATGTTAATTAGAAATTAATACTCTCTGACCAGGTGTGATCTTTTTAATGAGTTTGCCCCAAGCAGGAGGTATTACTTTATACTTTACCACTAATCAGAAGAAAATTTTTGATCTATTTCTTTAATTTTTTTATCCCTTTTTGATATATATTATATATAATATATCCCAAATTATATTAAGAATAGATATATTTCTAATATAAGGTTAAAACAAATTCAGTGATTTTTTGGCTGTTGTTACCTCATTAAAAAGATAATTATATAACTATTGTATGTAACCATGAAACCTATATAGTTTTTCTTTAGGAATTTAGGAAAATTAAGTTTAAAAAAAAAGAAAAAAACATGCCAAACAAGAAGCACCTTAATAAGGTTTCATTACCCTCAGTAAAGGTGTGGTTTTTAGTTAAAAGAAAATCTTTTTTTTAACAAAACTCTAAAACTTTAAAATTAATATAATTAAATTATTGTATAAGATAATTTAATTTAACTATCTCTATTTGATAAATCTGAGAATCATTTAAGGATGTAAAAATATGTTTTTATATATATTTTTATTTTATTGTGGCTGTTGTCATGTCAGAAAAAGAAATTATTTCAACAGCTAAAATTAAAAAAAGTATAGGTTTTTTGGTCAAGTATGGTTCAGACTGGTCGAGTATTGTTCAGACCTTTGGTCGAGTATGGTTAAGACTGTAAAAATTGGTCGAGTACAGGTCGAGAATGGGTTAAGACTGTTTCAGACTGGTCGAGTAATAGTTCAGACTATTTTCAATGGCAAAGATAAGAGTCAAGTACAAATCAGTACGGTCGAGTATGGTTAAGACTGAGTTCGAGTAATGTCGAGTAACATTCAGACCAATTCAGACTGGTCGAGTAAAAATCAGTACAGTCGAGTACAGATATAGGCCATTTCAGACTTTTACTGGTTTGTAGTGACACGATTAGCTAAAAGTGCAGGCCTTAGAAAGTACTCTTGTTCATAGCGCATGAGGGGATTTTAAATGACAATTAAACTCAAACATTCGAAACGTATTTTTATTTTGATTTCCCGGGAGGCGCTCTTCATAAAAAAAAATGTCTTTACGAAGGGAACAACATTCTAACAAAACAAAAACGATAAGTCGAGTATCATTTTGATGTTCGATACTCGGTACTACCGAGCGAAACTCGAGTACTCGAGTACTCGTTGACATCCCTAATAACAACCTACATTTATGTACCTATTCTATATCGACCTGCTACTGATGGAGCAGACATGTTTCTCTATAACGACCTACATTTACGTACTTTTTTTTATATCATCCTACTGGTGGAGCGGCCATGTTTGTCTATAACGACCTACATTTACGTACCTATTTTATATCGACCTACTGGTGGCGCGGCCATGTTTCCTTACAACGACCTACATTTACGTCCCTATTTTATATCGACCTACTGATGAAGAGGCCATGTTTCTCTATAACGACTAATATTTACATACCTATTTTATATCGTCCTACTGGTGGAAAGGCCATGTTTGTCTATAAAGACTAACATTTACGTACCTATTTTATTCCGACCGACTGGTGGAGCGGTCATGTTTCTCTATAACAACTAGGGATGTCAACTCGGTGAAGATTTACTAATCGAGTACTCGTTGGATTTACCGAGCGATACTCGAGTACTCGCTCGTAAAAACATATACAAAATGGAAACACAAAATTAAACCCAATTTAC